AGTCCACTTCCACATTGCGCTGCTCCCACCAGTCCAGTTGGGAGAAAGGCCGGTGCTTGTCCAGGTGGCCTTTAACATGGCGCCAATGAACTTGGAGGGGAAGGTGGCGAAGCAAGGCCCGGATGGTGGAGGCCAGGTCAAATTGGGCACCAGACGATGACAGGTGGAATTCGGAGAAGGACTTATCAAGAGCTATGAGCCCGTTGCAGGCCATCTCCACCGGGGATTGGCTGGCAAAGAGTTTCAGTTGGGCGACCTGAGACATCCATTCCAACACCAGGAGAGAAGCCATAAGGCCAATCAATTCGCTGCGCGTTGAACTCTGATCCTCAAATTTTCCAGGGGTTTGGCAGGTGATCCAGATGATATCCCTGCAATCCTCAGTGAGAATTTGAGCGCATGCTGTGCCCACTTTAGCTTTGTAAGAGCCGTCGCTCACAGCACAAAGGGTACCGGCAAGAAGTGCCTGAACCAGGCGGTCCTCACTACCTTCAATGGTAATGACCTCTGGAACCCAGCCGTGAGAACCGGACTCAGCCATACTGCCGAAGTGGTGCCAGAGGTCAAGGATGGTAGGTGAGGGCCCGTAGAGTGGAGGAGGATCGGAGACCGGCTAGGGAGGACAGAGACCGAGGCGCGGACAGCGTCCACTGGTAGAGGTGAGAGATCAGGGTTGAAGCGGCAAGGCAAGTAGAAGGTGCGCTGACGGCTGGTGGAGGTGAGAGGGACGGAAGGGATCCATAGTTGACCCTCACGGTGGAACAGGGTATTGGTAGAGGGGGAGTATTGCCACTTCCAGGACAAGTTGACGGAATGTCACGGACCTAACAGAGAACTGAGACGGCGTCGGTTGGAGTGGCCAGTCAGGTAAGTAGAGATCCATTGCTGCCATGCAGTCCACCATTGGTTAGACGGACGAGCAGTACAGGGCCATTGGTACCGGTCAGAACAGCTGTCCGCTCTTTTCCCTTTCCATGCTTTCAAAGTAATCGCTGTCCCTTCAGCATTCACAATATCAGAAAGAGTGACTGCGTGCAGGAAGATCCGACACCAGTTGAGCCATTTCAAAGTAAGTTGGTCCACCAAAGAATCGATGAACAGGTTGACTAACAGTTGGTCACTTAGCGTAGTGGCTGAAGAGAGGGGGAATCAAACTCCAGGTGGATGGAAAGAGTCGAGTTCACTCCAGGTCCGCTTTGCCCATGTGTCAGACGCCAGGATGGAGGTGTTGGCATAGACTTGTTGGAAGAGGCCGTAATAATAATAACTGAGATGCTACTCTATGGGCATTCGATTGCTGGTGAAATATTCGGCTGTACCGTGCAGATTTGAATAAACCTAACGAATGGAGAATTCACTTGCCTGAAACTTTGGTTGCTCCAGTGATTGTGTGGTATCATTTGGTACTTGGACATCAAGGTACTACCTCTTTGTACAATACAATCGTCCGACGGTTCTATGCTCCTGCTTTGAAAAGAAAAGTTTAATCCCTCAGATGTGAAGTTTGCCAAGTGAATAAAAATGTGAACATTCAATACGGACATCTGCCTAAAAGACACGCAGACTTGGTCCCGTGGTTTTCTGTGGCTGTGGATTTGATTGGACCTTGGAAAATCAAGGTCAACAGTATAGAAATTGAATTCAATGCGCTCACTTGTATTGATCCCGTGACAAATCTCACTGAACTTTCACGCATTGAGAACAAAACTTCAGCCCATGTCACAAATGTCTTTGAGAATCTTTGGCTTTCTCGATATCCAAAACCCTACAAGTGCATTCACGATCAAGGCGGCGAATTCATTGGTCACGATTTTCAGTTGAAACTACAGCAGTGGGGAATCCACAATGCATCGGCGGCAAGCAAGAATCCAACTGCCAATGCTATCTGTGAACGTATGCATCAGACTGTTGGCAACATCCTACGAACAAGATTCAACAACACTAACATGGCCCCAAACATTCAGACAGCTAATCAAGCCTTTGATGATGCTCTTGCAGCATGCAATCATGCCATGAGATGTGCTGTTTCTCAGTCTTTGAAAAACAACACTCCAGGTGAATTCGTGTTTGCTTGTGATATGTTGCTCAACATTCCTGTCATTGTCGATCTTTTGAGTATGCAAGAAAACAATTGATGGTCAACGAAAATCTACGGCAACAAAATGCTAAACGAAAGGAGTTTGATTACAACGTTGGTGGCGAAGTTTTGATCAAGAATTTCAATCCAAGTAAATTGGATCCAAAGATGGAAGTCCATATCAAATTACTCGTGTGTTTACTAACGGAACTGTTGAAGTTCGCAGGAGTCCTCAAGTCTTTGAGAGACTGAATATACGGCGTCTTGTGCCGTTTTGTCGAGTCTAGCAAGCGATGAGTTTGAATCGCCTGTTGCGTCAAGAACCACCTCTCGTATGACTGTGGATGTAAGGGCGCCTTTGTGACTACACTTTGATACGGAATGATATGATAATACTATGATCATACTACAAGCTTTGATCATAGAGGGGAAGAGTGAAACGGCCCATAGAACAGGCCCAATGTATTGGGACTGTAGAAGCTCCTTCGGTTGGGTACAGAACTAGACCTTAGTCAAAAGGTCCACGTAAGCACTTTGAAGTGCATCTCTATAGACATCCACAATTTTCTCTGTGACTCTTCTGTGAAGGTTGGGTTAATCCGTGTGATTTGATGGTTTTCTCTATTAGATGATGACCGCATCTCCCACAAATGGCATTCTTGAAATAATGAAAGATTCCTTGATCAAGAGCATTGAACTCGTTGGCATCTCCGTCAGTCAATATGAGATTGACTCGTTTCAGGTGTGCTACACCAAGCATGGCCGGTAAGACCTCAAGGAATACCCACGGATAGAAAGCCTTGGGCTCGTTGGGCATGAACATCTGAAGGATGACAAACGCCTTATTACCACTATCTCTACCACAGACAAAGGAGAAGAGGTCAGCCTTCATTGTTTGACTTGTGTGTAGCGTCAATGAACAATACCTCCGGGAAGCGGAAAAATTGACGTTTCTCTGCTTCTGTCATCCATGCACCTCCTAGCATAACTTTAGTGGGTGACATAATTGTGTCACTAGATGCAAGGAGATGCGTTTCTGCTTGTTCAACAAGCTCAACCATTGGTGCAACCCCCTTGAGAGTTGATTCAACTTCCATAGACCGTGCAAAATTTTCATTGGTCTGGTTCGCAATGGATACATTTGCAATGGAGTATAAGCCTTTGGGAACAATGGGGGCAAGCTTGGCACATAGTTTATCAGCAATTTGGACCTTTCCTTGAGCCGCATTACAAACCACATTGCTACTAGCTGTATCCTCATCACAAGATTCTTCGCCAGATTTGTCGGAAGAAACATCGCCAGAGGTGTAAGCCAAACTGTTCCTAATGGTTTGGTTGTCAACTTCATTTGCGGCACCACAAAAAATGGCTTATTTTTTCTCTCGGATGGCTTTGGTATTTTGCAAATGGCCTTCAACGCCAACAGAAGCACAATAGTCCTGCCGCATTGGTAGTGCAACACGATCTATAGCAGCTTGGCAAAGGTTGTTTTTTGCTACTAGACCACCCTTACCATATTCCGAAAAAACAAAAATACAAAAGCAACACGCATATCCGGGTCCTACAAACATCACTTTCGGTACTTCGCCTACACGATTTTTCTGTAGCGAAACGAAACTCGCTCCTCCTTTTTGCATCAAAACTGACAATGGGAAAGTCGAAGAACAACAAGAAAGTGGCAATCGCTGCTAAACCTGTTAATTCTACTGCTCTTACTCAGGGTCGCATCAGTTTTTTGCA